ATGAGGGAACTGAGGCACAGAGTATTAAAGTGATTTGCCCAAGATCACACAGCTTAATATCTAATTGTTTTCAAGCCTTTTCATGTGTTTACTTTCTGTTCCTCTGACTAGACTGAAAGTTCCTTTATGGGCAGTGACTGAGTTTTCTATTATTTTTGGCTTAATGGACTAAAGTTAAACTGTGTGACTATAAGGGGTATTAAATATTGTAATAGCACAAAAGAATCAGGAGACTCCCTTCTCTTCCTGGAACTGTTAGATCTCATCTTGATTGGGTGATTAGATGACCTAAGTAAGCAGTCTACTAGCTCTCCCTATACTTCCATGATCTTTTGTAATATATAACATTTTATTTTTCCCCAATTACATGTAAAAACAATTTTTCAACATTTTAAAAAAAGTTTTGAGTTCTAAATGCTACCTTTTCCTCTCTCCTTCCCTCCTCCCTCCCCCCCCATCCCTGAAATGGTAAGCAATCCAAGATAGGTTATATATGTGCAATTCTATGATCTCTTGATCTTTTTTTTTTCCTGACCACTCTGTTAGCCCCCTAGATTAAAGAAGCTCATGACTTACCCATAGGACTCAAACGTGGATCTGTCCAATGTTCATTAATTTATGGAAGCTGAAATTACAAGTTAGATAACATCTGAAGTGTTTAGTTATGTTGGCTAGATTTTGAGAATATGAAAATAAGAGCATTCATTTTAAAGACACACAGACACACACACACATTAAATCATTACTATGTGCTAGGTGCTGGGAATACAAAGTCAAATATGAAACTGTCTCTGCCTATAAATAGCGGCCATCCTACTGAATGCAGAGGATGTAGAAAGGAGGGAAACCATAGCAATAAGCAGTCTGGAAGTGATGTCACATGAAGATCACTTACAGGAATTGGGAATGATTAGCCTGGAATAACAGAAGTCTTCAAAGAGATATGATAACTGTCTTCGAATATTGAAGGGCCATCACGTAGAGACTGTTCTGTGATTTAAAAAAAAAATAGGACTAAGACATGGATAGAAGCTATAAACAGGCAGACTTCAACACAACATAAGAAAAATTTTATAACACGCTGCCCAATAATATAGCTATCATTGGAAATGGTGACATACACATATTGGGACAAATGAAAAGTCTGAGAGACATAGTTTCTGGTAATTAATAATTTATTAATTAGGCTAGCAGATAATGGATAAATTGAGGTGAGTCGTTCTCTCATAACCAAAGGTGAACCTTGGAGACCATCCAATGCTCAAATATCTTTGGAAAAGTGGAGATCAACTCTGATTGGTTAACAATTAATGAGAAAATTAATATTATAGTGAGAGATAGACCTTTTCTAATGAGGAATTGGGTAGTGACTTTCATCAAGTCAGCCTCTTGGACAGTGACTCATCTTACCTAGACCACTTAAGCTGAACACAATGGGACTGAATTCACCTAGATTAGATTCTCTTTACCCTTTAATCAGAAATAAGCTCTCCCAGTTGGGTGGGGTCCCTCACATTCACTCCTCCCCAACAAGATCGAGAAGAATGGCACATTGTCAGCCCTGAACTTTATAAGGACTGTGCTTTGAATGAGTAAATAAAAATAAAAAAGAGGATCTTTGGGTACTATATATAAAATTGGTTATTAATATAATAAAAAATAATCATTTTTCTCAATATCTATGTATATGCATACACATGCATACATATGTATATGTACATACATAGATATTCTTCATAAATAGTACAACCACTTTTCAAGGGTGCTGTATAAGACATTCCTGCATTGGGAAGAGTGATGGACTAGACATCCTCTAAAGTTCCTTCTAGCTCTATGACACTCTAAGAGTGTCACTTGATGTGTGTTTACAATACACTGGATTCCTGTCAGAAATTTCAGTTCTACCACTTACTACATAATTATGGGCAAGTTCCTCTATTTAGGTGAGACAAGGCAACAAGTATCTATTAAATACTTAATATATGCCAGGCACTGTGTTAAGCAATGGGGATAAAGAAAATCAACCCCTGCCCTTAAGGAGCTTACATGCTAATGGGGGAAGACAATACACTAGAGGGAGCTGAAAAGGAGAGACGTGGATGATACTTAGTAGGGGCATGGTGCCATAGTGGTGAAGAGCTGAGAGTCAAATGCACTAAGAGAGGAATGAAGCATGGATGACCTACACCTGTTGTCAAAGCAAAGCTCTCAGGAAGAACTCATTCATAGGAGAAGGGGGCTGGAGTGGCAGAATATTGTTCCAGGACAAAAAAGTTCTGGATGCTGAGGTAAATTCCAGGGTGAATGTGCGGCTGTGGCATAATAGCAAAGTCCTGAGAGCCCAAAAGCAGAACAAGGAGAGTTGAGCATGGCTGCCCTGGGCTAATTCCCCAAATGGAAGCACCAGGAGGAATTCACCAGTGGAAGAAGTGGGCTGGAGAAGTGGATGGAAATTCTAGGGTGAGAAGGCCTTGATTGCTAAGGGAAATTCTGACACTCTAAGACTCATTTTGGTTATTTGCAACAGAAAGGTCATACTACATATACTATCAACCTGACTGGGTTGTTATGAGGAAAACACAGTAAATTTTTAAAACACTCATCAGTTTGAACTAACATTATGATTCAATGATTTATATAGACAAGCAAACTAACATTATGATTCTATGACTCAAAGACAAGGCAGTTCAGAAGTCTTTCACTTAAATACAAGCAATCTATACGCATTTTGGAGGGCTAAAATCACAGGTCAAAAGGCAAGATCATACTCATTCCCTTTTATACCTTTTTTCATGATATTCTTTCATCTTCCTCCTTTGTGCTGGTGCCATACTTAACATATTCTATGGTTCCAGAGGATCTCTAAGTTCATTGTTGAGGTAGTCTGATGGAGTAGATCTCTACTGATCCATGCCTGCCCTGCCCCCGACTCTTGTCCATGTTCTCCCATAAATCTGCTAGAGAAGGTCTGTCCAGTATACTGTGAGACTCTAAAAAGTCCTATCCCAATGCCTCATCATGACATAGAGACAACACTTTATTCTACACAACTATTTCAGCAGAGTATAAACTGACCAGTTCTACCATGGTAGAGGGACTTTGCATACTGTCCATGAAACAAACTATTGTTGCTTTCTACAGAGCAGCCTGGATAAACATAGAGAAGCTCACCACTGATAGACTGGATGCTTTATGATAAATCCTTGGCTATGATTACCCAAGCACTTCACTTTTTTTTTTGTGAGACAGTTGGGGTTAAGTGACTTGCCCAGTCACACAGCTAGTAAGTATTATATGTCTGAGGCTAGATTTGAATTCAGGTCCTCCTGACTCCAGGGCCAGTGCTCTACCCATTGGACCACCTCGCTGCTCGCACTTTCCTTTCTTAAAATTCCTCCACCTTAGTGACTCAGTGTGCTCTAAAATAAGAGTATTATGTTCTTGCCTACCCTGCCTACTCTTTCACTTTTAAAAACAGATCCTGAGGAATTCCACAGAGTAGTATTAAGTGGAAAGTCTTATGGTAGCATCTAAAGAGCACTGGATTTGGAGTCAAAATGTCTAGATTCTGGTTTTGGCTCTAACATTATCCCTGTATTCTTGGGCAAACCACTTAATTGCTCTGTGACTCAATTTCCTCATCTGCAAACAGGGTGTTAGGACTTGACCCCCAAGGTCTCATCTAACTCTAAAATTATGATTTCCATGATCCTAACAAGCTGTCACTAATTGGAAATGAAACAAATAGAGAGGAAATGCATTGTTATGGTCTTTTACATTGGAAAATGAAAACCTCACCCTAGTATGGTGGGTAAATTATTTCCCATACAAAGTGAATTAGCCATGCTTGTGACCTATGAGGGGGAAAAGGATTAATATCTCTGTGAGTGGAAAGAGACAAGAGAATTCTAAAAGACATCATCATAATTCAGACAAAATCAGCCAAGGGACCTCTGAGAATGAAGCATTAGGGGAAGAAAATGGAGTCTATGTGATTTAATGAGAAAGTATTTAAAGATTCAAGTCAGTTCAAACATTTTATTAAATGGTAAAGTCCAAAGGAAAAACTAAGCCAGGGTAAACACCTGGAAACAACAAATTCCATGGATGAGTGGAGAAGCTGAAGTTTCCAGAGAAAAGGTAAAGAGGAGGAGCAGAATGATTAATAGTGTACCAACTTAAAGATTTTAAGGGAATAAGAAGGACATTACCAGATACACTGCACCAAAGGAATATACAGAGACAGAGTCCTATTAATAAATGAAAAAGGGAACAAAATCAATGATGACTTTAAAATGCCTGCGCATCCCAACTGTGCTTAATAATTGATCTGTAAAATAAATCAACACATTCATTTTGGCCCCTACTATGTCTAACACTCTATGTTTATTTAAAAATACAGAGATATGTTGGTATGATTGAAAGGCAATAGGATAAATCTAATTTGTCAATAAATAATTTTCAATGCCCTAAACATTTATTAAGGTACTGGACACTGGGAATGCAAAGATGAAAAAAAAAGACAATCTCTGTTGTAAAGAAACTTTCACTGTAGGTGGGTATGTGTCAGGGGGAGACATAGATGAGATCTAACAGGGGAGTATCACTTATACAGCTCCCCACTGCGTGAGATGGAGGAATTGGCTTCTGGGAGAGTTGTGGAATATAGAACGGAAGAGTTTTGGGGAAATTTTGAAGCATTAGGAGACATTTTGTGTAACTGAGATGGTCTGCTAACCACTTGGTGAAGAGGAGCCTCTTGATTGGCTGTGGCTAAGGAGGCAGAACAAGGGGATAGGGTTGGGTAGGGATGGAGTCATTCAAAAGGCCTTTGTCAGCCTCAGACTCTTTCTCTCAGTTTGACTTCTCATCAGCTGACTTCTTCCTGTCAGATGGCAAGGAGAGATGATGCTATAAAGGAGGAGGCTGACATTTGACCCCATGAAAACTCTACTCAGTTCTTTGCCTTAGTGTTGGGTTTTTTTTTTGTTTTGTTTTAGATGAAGGAGATTAATCTGGAGGCTTTAATCTTGTGAATTTCGAAGTCACAAGAGTGAGTCATCTGGCAGTCCCAGAGTCAAGTCTATGCTAGATTTTGCAGACAGTCCAACATCCAAAGAGTAACCTTGGGACTCAGTCCAGAGGTACCTGAGGTAAGATCTTATTCCTCAGCAATGCTGCATTAGGACATGAACTTGATGGGATAAATGTTATGTAGAAACCGCATTGAATCTGCATCCATCTTCTCCAGACCCCAAGGTTGAATAGGAGAGATCATGCCCCTAGGGTTTTTTTTTAATTATCTTTTAATTGTTTTAATCAGCAAAAATCTGCCTTTGCTCCTTTCCAGCCTAACTCTACCCCTCAACTGAGAACAAAAGAAAAACAAAACCTGCTACAAACACGTACAGTCAATCAGACCAGATTTCGACATTGGTTTTTGTTGTTGTTGCTGTTGTTTAGTCATTTTCAGTTGCATCTGACTCTTTGTGTCCCCTTCTGGGATTTTCTTGGTAAAAAATGGTTTGCCATTTTCTTCTCCAGCTCATTTTACAGATGATGCAACTGAGGCAAACAGGGTTAAATGACTTGCCCAGGGTCACACAGCTAGTAAGTGTCTGAGACCAAATTTAAACTCAGGTCTTTTTGACTCCAGGTGTTGTATTCTATTTTGCTACTTAGTTGCCCCTAAAAGATTTCCACATTGACCGTGTCTAAAAAATCATCTATATCCTTAGAATTTATTGTGTTTAAGACCAATCCCTCTCTTAATCTAACCTTCCTTCTAATTCCCCTCTCCCCATTCTCCCCTTTTCTTTTTTCCCTATTGAGTGAAATATATTTCTTTACCTTCCTCTCTCCACATATACATATATATACACAAATACCTATATGTATATATATATATATATATATACATACACACATATACACATACATACATATACACATATGTCATCTGAATTGATCAAAGGGTGTAAGAATACTCTCTCTTAGAGGGGGCCCAGATCTTCTTGGTAAGCCCGCACAACTAAGTTTCTTTACAAAACTCAAAAATAGGGAACCCTAGCTTTGAAATAGAACACTTCAATGGAAGTAAGAATATATGTATATTCTTACTTCCTTTGCTAAATTCAGATTATATATATTATATATAACAACTAAGCTTCTTTACAAACCTCAAAAACTAGGAACCCTAGCTTTGAAATAGAACACAAGAATATACTTATATTCTTACTTCCTTTGCTAAATTCAGATTATATATGGAGAGAGAGAATATATATGTATGCATATACATATGTGTATATATGTATGTATACACAAACAAACACACACACACATTCTTAATTCCTTTGATCAATTCAGATGAGAATAAGATTGAAATGGCAGCTGCTTTCCTTACCTCTCTTCCTTGTTTATATAGATATCTACTGCATACTCTGATTATGGGAGACCCACCCCCATCCACCCCATGTATTCTTCTTTCTCTCTCTTCTTCTATTTTTCTCTTAAGATCATCAAGATATAACAGAACCACTCTCATGCATAGGCTAATTAGATTCACACTACGACCCTTGATAATGATAGGGTTCAGCTTGGAAACATGTGTCATCTTCCCATATTAGAATGTAAGCAGCTTATTCTTGTGTAGCCCTTTAACACTGTTCATTCATGTTTGCTTTTTTATGTTTCACTTGACTCCTTGTTTGAACTTCCAAGTTTCTATGTAGCTCTGATCATTTCATCATGAAGGCGTAGAAGCTCTCTGTTTCATTAAAGTTCTATTTTTCCCTCCTGTAATGTTATACTCAGTTTTGCTAGATACATTATTCTTGGCCATAAGCCTATATACTTTGCCTTTTGCAAAATCAAATTTCAAGTTCTCTGCTCCTTTGTAGTGACAGCTGTTAAGTAATATCTGATCCTGACTGTGACTCCTTGGTACTTGAATGCTTTCTGGCTGCTTTCAGTATTTTTTTCTTTGACATGGAGACTCTAGATTTTAGCTATGATGCTCCTAGAGTTTTCATTTTGGAGTTTCTTTCAGGAGGTGACTGCTGGATTCTTTCTATTTCCATTTTATCCTCTGGTTGTAAGATATCTGGGCAGTTTTCTTTTAAGATTTTTTTTTAAATAGGATGTGTTGGATCTTTTTTGGTCATGGCATTCAGATATACCATTGATTGTTAATTTTTTTCCCTTTAATCTGTCTTCCAGGTCAGTTGTTTCTGCTATGAAATGTTACATTTCCTTCTATGTTTTCAATCTTTTGACTTTAATATTTCTAGTTGCCTCATGGAGTCATTGGCTTTATTTGGTCCATTCTAATTTTTAGTGGATTTGTTGTCTGGGCAACAAATCCTCATGTGTTAAGCTATCACTTCCCTTCCCTTTCTAATTCTTTCTTCCATAGCTCTCATTTCTTTTCCATTTTCCCCCTCCATCACTCTCATTCCATTTTTAGAAACATTTAAAAACTCTTGCTAACTCTTGCTATATCTCTTCCAGGAATTTTAATTGAATTTTGCCCAAGCTGTGTTCGTAGAATCATCTGATCCAAGGCAAAGTCTAATTGTTGCCCCCTTGATCAAAGGGCTTCAAGTTCCTGTCATTGTGCCCCAGTATCAATCTAGTGGTGCTCCCCTATGGGCCAGGGATATCCTTATGCCCTCGTGTGCAGCTTCTCCCTAGGCCCTGGAGTGTTCATGTGTGACAAGCTCCTGGCTGAACCTATCTCCAATGTCCCCAGACCACTCTGTTTGTTTTCCTATGCCAATCTGGGTTAGACAAAGAACTCATTGTGACTTTCTCTGATTTCTCCATTAGGATTTGGTCTGATGCATTTTCTAGATCTGTTTACAGGAATTTTGTAGAGGGGAAACTCAGTTATATTTAGAGTTCCTATAATTCTCATATCTTTGCTCCACCTTTCACTCATGCCCCAAAGATATTTGAGGAAAATGCTTGTACTTCTGTTCTTGGGATATCTTTGAAGCAAATATCCCATTGTAAAAGCTAATTGATTGGCTAAATGGAACTGGAGCATCAATAGTGGCTCATAGTGGGGGGGAAAACACATTGTCACCCCACAGAAGTACTTTGAGAACCCTGAAGGGAAATGTAAATAGACGGGCTCTGGGATAATGAGTCCAGAGCATACTTGCTACAGTGACATAGAACTGTCTCTGAAGTCAGAGGACCTGGGTTTAAGTTATACCTCTGACGCCCACTAGGCTATATGACCTTGGGTAAATTGTTTAACCTCTCTGAACCATAGTATCAGTATTTATAAAATAAGGGAGTTTCATTAGATGGCCTCCTAGATCTCTTCTAGTTCTAGATCTTAGGTCCACTTGGTCATTGTTGGGGCCCTGATTGGCTCAGAGTGAATGTAAATAGCAATTATTTCTGTTTTGGCCAGAAACCCTGAGGGTCTTCCTCTCCCAGATTGATTTTTTTTTTACTAGGTAAAAGAGGCCAGTAATCACTGAATAGGCATTGCCTTAACAGAGACCTGTTAAAGACCTTAACTTAAAAAGGCCAACGTCTCCCACTGCATCCAGGGCCATCTCAAGTTGTCCTGATCCATATCTGGCTACTGGACCCAGATGGTTCCAGAGGAGAAATTGAGTGACTTTACTGGTGACTTTACACAGCCCTCCCTCACTTAAACCCAATTCACTTGCATGGCATCACCTCCCTGACAAAACAACAGATCCTAGATTCAATTATATACAAATAATCACAGGTGGCTGCCAATTTTTGTACCAAGGGCAGCAGCATGTAATGCCTCCTCAAATCAACTTTTTAAAACAGAGTCATTTGGAAAGAAACAGGGAGAGATTCTGGGACAATAGAAGGCTGCTGCTGAGGAATCTGCCAACCAGAAGACAGGAAAAAAGGCAAAGCAGAGCAGAGCTTGGAGAGATCAGAGAGGACCTCCCTAGAAGTATCTAGCTAAAGTCTTGGTTGCCAAATATTGGTGATAGTTAAATCATAATATGAATTAATAGTGAGTACATTTGAAAAGTCCACAGAAGAGCTAAGATTCTTTCTCCTCAACATGTCAAAAGCAGTCCTCATCTTCCCCTAAAACACACCTCTCTTCTAAACTTCCTTATCTGTGTAAAGAATACCAACATTCTTTCATTCACTCAGGGTTTGCAGAATCTCTACAGATCCTTATCTCAACATTTAATCAGTTTCCAAGTCTCATAGATTCTACCTCCACATTATCTCTACCCTACATTCCCTGCTCTCTTACCATACACAACTACCCCTCAAATCTGGGCCCTCTTCATTTCTTGTTTGTATCATAGCAATAGTCAACTAGTTGTGCCCCTTGCCTCAAATCTCTCTTCTTCAGTCTGTCTTCTCCACTGCTGCCAAATTGATATTCTTAAAACACATGTCTAGCCATGCCATTCCTCTGTTCAAAAAGTCTCAATGGCTCCCTTTTATCTCTAAGATAATATCCAGACTCCTTCATTTGACATTTCAATTTCTTCACAGGCTGGCTGTAGGATATATGTCCAAACTGATTTAACATTCCCCTTCCTATTCTCTCCTCCATAGCCTACATTCCAGTCAAACTGGCTTATTTGGCAATTCCCAGGATATATCATTCCATTTCCTATTTTCTCTTTCTTTTTGTATCCCCAGAATTTAACACAGTGCTTTGAACATAGTAAGAGCTTAATAAGTGACTGTTAACTGCCTGACTCTTGTCTCTGTCTTTTCATAAACTATATCTCCTCCCTTCACTCATCCCGCCTAAGCCTGGACTGTTCTCCCTTTTCACCTCTTCATCATGGAATACTTCTCTCCCTTCAAGACTCAGATTAAGTGCCACATCCTATGTGAGGTCTTGTCTGATTCCCCCACATTAGTAACCATGCCCTTCACTGCAAGAATGTATATGTTTTTGTATGTATATTATACTGTGTATATACATATGCATACATATATGCACATATGTATGTATATATGTGCACATATGTGTGTTTGTAATTTTTCAATATAGTTCCTTCCAATACCTCCTTTACGGGCCAGGGCAATTTTCATTTTTATTTTTGCATTCCCAGTGCTTAGCACAGTACCTGGCACACAGCATGGAATTAATAAACACCTTGATTCTACAGTCTCCCTCACC